CTGACATTTTCCACACAGACTCGTTGTGCCAGACAATTATTGTTCGTGAAAAAACAATTCCCAAAATTTTACACTTTTTAGGCAAATTTTTTTTATTTTACATATATTCAAATAGAACGCATTCATGGCTTTGGCTGAACGTCAGAGTGTAAGAGCCCAGAGCGTAACCCCTCCACAGGCCGTGGCGGAGTAGCGCAGTTGGTAGTGCACTCGCTTCCCATGCCAAAGGTCGCGGGATCGATCCCCGCGTCCTCCACAGGCGAATATATTTTTAAATCCTTTATATTAAGTTCGCCGCCACGCATATAAAGGATTTATAGTGAAAAACTTTATTTTTACGGGTTTACTTGTTTCTTTTTGGGGCCACAGTGTTACTGATTAACGAGTTGAGTTTGTGTGACTTGTCAGCTTATTAACAACAGCTCCAAAACAAACAATGTTCTCGCTTCTAATTGCCGCGTGTAATGCCTCGACACCAAACAATCTGTTCCTCCGCGATGTGCGTAGCTTGCCAGCTTTGAGCACTAACTGCTCAAAGTTTTTGACACCAGCTATAAAAAATAATGTGGAAATGAATCAAGTGTAGCAATTAGTTTTGTTCTCCCTCTCTTTCGGCCAGTCAGAAGTTTATTGCCCGAGTGAAGCCAATTGAGCCGTGCGGATCTTCTTCAAGGGCAACTCGGCCAGTAGAGCAGCAATTCAGCAGAGTTGCGACAGGGGAACGCCAACTTAACGCGACCTTCCCCCTTCATTGTGAATTCAACGTCATTCAAATCTCGTCTTCTTCTATTCTCGGTAGTCCCTCGTGAGTGACGATGATCGCGGTGGACACCGCGATGCTCCACGAGGCACAAGGGAACGGGACGCTGCCATGGTATGATGGCTCGCGTCTTGGCAATCAGAGGTCGCAAGTTCGACTTTCGTTTCTGTCCAGCCAGCGGTATAGATGGGTACGCCACGGTGACTGCTGCACGTCCCATGAGCACGGTCGGATCCGCACGGTGCGAGAGAAGCTCACCATGAACACAGATGGAGTCGTTCGGCAGTTCGCGTGTGGTGGGGTAAAGCGTGGGTACTCCCACCTCTTCAAAGACAATCCGACCAGTGTAGAAGAGTAGGCCAAATACTCTCTCGAGGGGCATCTCTGGACATCCCTCGAGTGGAGGCAATTCTTCTGCCAGCAATTTCCAGCCAGCAGTTACGGCGCTGCGCCTTTATCTTCATATCTTTATACATGAATGGCAAGAGTGTGTAAAAACTCGCTAGACCCATCATCATCAGGGTTGCTAAAATAAGCACCACCTGCTGGAACTGGATCACTTGATGCAAATAAGTGAACAGTGCCTGTTCAATGGGCAGTGTTGGGACAGTTTATTTTGAAGGGTTTACTTTATTGATTAAAATAAACGTAGTCCCATATATATTATTCTCAAAGTAACGTATTCTAATTTATTGATTTATCTGACAATTACTTTATTCAAATGAACGCCTGATGATTTTGTCGCCGTAACAGCGCCTTGCTGTGACCGTGGTGCAGGTTCACGTGCTCCGCTTGTCCTCACATTCACCCAAGCTGCTGAAATCGCGTTTCCCCACTTGTATTTTTTTATAATCAATTTAGACGATATATGTTTTAAATCAACGTATTTAGTGACATATACTAAGTGACAGTAATCTGCTTACACACTGAACATGGATACTATTGCGCAGTGGCTTGCGAATTTCACCATGAGCCCTGCGAGCCGAAGTTGACTCCGGACTACGACTACCAGCGACATGTGAGCTGCCCCCAGAGCCCCCTCCCATTCGCCGACTAGCACTGACCAGCGCGGTGAAGTATGTTCAAACGAGCCCCATGACTCACACGGCGGCGTCGGAAGGCTTCCATTCAACATTGGACTGGCAAAGGCCTATGCATCATTAATAAAGTACTTGTATTATATTACGTAAACGGATGTCACCCATGTAACTGAGGTTAACCAGGTCTTGCCTGTCAAAGTGAGGCTTGTTTAGCATGACAAAGGACCTGACAATAGTCGCATTTCCTTGCATCCCGAGTCAATGCAGCCAGTCTCCATCCCAGCCCCAATCATCAGCATCATCACCATCGCCAGCCATGCTGAATCCACTGCTGCGTGAAGGCATCCCCAATTCTTCGCCATCCTTCACAGATTTAGCGACATTTGTATCCATATACTGTATCTATATTGTCCCTTTTGTCATTCGATTGCAGAAACACGCCATGAATAAAAGCTCGTCTGCCCCACGCTGCTTGTGCAATAGGAGCACATTGCTAGACTATGATGAGACAGCAGCCAGATCGAGTCTTGCCACAGGCATCTCGAACTGCTGTGAACACCTCAGGGCCAGCATTTGAGATGTTACCCTCACAAGACTCACCCAGGCATTCTGTCAGTGACGTGGTTGTGCGAGGTTAGGGCTCTGCCCGGCCATGGTGACTACTGATGAATAATGTCACACAGGATGACCTGGGTGGCTGAATTCCGTGGGAATGCCTGGGCCAGACATGGCTGGTCTAGCACTGCCCTGAGCATGAAAGAGAATGAGCACAGGTGAGAGGCCGAGAAGTTTGACCTCATAAAGAGCACTGGACCAGTCACAGTCCCCATAGCCCCCTCTATTACCTCGCAATGTTTCAACGACAAGGTGGCACTCACCCTCTTAGACTTCCCCCAACTACTCGTCCCCGATCTATCCTCTCATCTCACTCTCCTCCCATCCAAACGCTCTACTTCTCCCCTCTCATCTCACTCTACTCCCCTACACACACTCGCCTACCTCTCTCCTCTCATCTTTCTCTAATCCCTGTCTACCTGCGGGACCAAATATTATTCGATGTTTTTGTGTGCAGTCATTAAAAACTAAACTAGTGTATTCAATTGTTTTTATTTTACCAGGTAAGGCCCAGTGAGCTGCGTATCTATTTTTCAGAAGCGACCTGGCAACAGGTGATAGCTCACCAACGTGGCTTATCACGTGGATATTTGTAGCAGCCAAATATTCCCAACTGTTTCCGGGCATAGAGCGGGCAGGGACCACCAAGTGACTGCACTTTCGAGCCCGTTGTCGTCATCACAGGAGTCTGCCGGACTTCAAGCACAGGATCGCAGCGGTGGCAGTCGCTGGTGGAACCAAAGGCAGCGGGGGGAGGGGCGGGGGGAGGGGCGGGGGGCGAGATGGAGGCAGAAGCCTCCCTTGAAACCCAACACATTTTTGTTGTTGACATTTACCGTGAAAAACACAAGGTGCTTTTTTTTTACCGTTTATGGTTCTTTATTTTAATCGTTGTTTTTTTTGCAGTATACTCCTATTTGTATTATTAATTTGGGGCCCTTTTAAAAAAATCTTAAAATTTCAGGATCCCCCCGCCGCCCGTGGAGTCAGCTCAGCGCCCTGACTTCTGGCCCACCCACGGCGACCTCCCGGCACTTGGGCACTGAGCACATCCACACGCACATCCACACGGCATCGCGTCTGCGCCGTTACTCCACTGCTCCCTCTATCGACTGACGACCCTATAGCGCGTCAAGAGAGCGCCCTCTACTGAACCAGAAGCCGCTGTGCACTTCTCCTCGAACCAAGCCCTGCTCGCAAGCAGACAAAACTGAGTTGGCTCAGTCGATTTAAACTTTGATTGTTTATCTATTTTTTTTAAACCAGGTTCAAGCCACGTATTTATTTCTTAGTTATTAGGCAGCGTTTGCAAATTACGGCCGTGGCCAAGCATTTCCAGTCTGTGCATTAAAGATACTGTAGTGATATTGGCGGTCGTCGTCTGGCTCAAAGAGTTGTTATCACGTGAGAGTGCTGAGCTAGCAGCACGAAGATCCTGCATTCCCATCGCCAATGACGGACTCTCTCTCTTCACTCCACTGCCAAATGGCAGGTCTGTGGCTCTAAATCACTCCATCCCATCTTGAGCTTGCTTATTGATTTTACTTTACACACCCCTCCCTTTGCTTCAATTCGTGAAGCAGATTTTTTTTGTCTTGGCCTCTTTCCCAACAAACATGCAGAACTTCCTTCACTAAGCTTTCATCTCGAAGGAGAAAAAAATAATATAATTTTATTTACATTTAGCTATTCATTTAATTTGGCTACATTTCTGAGGACTAAAACTTATTTTGGTTTGATCACCATGCGAGAAAACCTTTATCAGGGCTAATGAGTCGGGGTTGATGAGAGTAAATCGAAGAGACCTCAGAAGTAGCTCTATAATGCCTCCTTCCAGGGTATGTTCTCTAACAATGGTTGATGTGATAGTGTGGCTTTCTGTGAGAGTTCAGAATGGGTGTTTCTCTAATTTCTTGATATGGTGCCCATAACACAATTGGGAGAACAGTTTTATTTTTGAAACATACTGACTTATTTCCACTTTTAGACTAAATCTCCCATGAATTTAGAATTCTACTGGAACAATCCAATCTCAGAATAGAGACAATGATGTAGTTGCTGAAGAAAAACTCTTAAATTGGTGTTGTAATGTTTGAAGATGATTAACGCCACAAATTTTAATCTAATTATTTTATATTACGTAAATGGCTGTCACTCAAAACGCTAAGGTCAAGGAACCGGTTGTAGTAGTCTATAACATATAACTGAAATCACATCTACGTGTATATGAGAGAGTAACATAACAATGTGGCTAATATTTGTTTTTATCGTCACGTACTCCCTGTGATGGCATATTATTCATAAACAAAACATTAATACAACTGGAACAAAATCTGGAAATTGTGCAAATAAGCATAGCGATATGAGTGCTTGTAATGTATGGAGATACAGAAACCCGTGGATTAGATAACACGCGCAGAATACCATTACTTCATGAAAAAAACTGTGCCCGTCCTAGGAGGATTATCCCGTTGCAAGATCATGAGAGATGGTGGCGGCTTGGGGAGGCTGTCATCCAGCAGCGGATTGAACATGGCTGATGATGCCGGCAACGATGACGCGGTGCGGTGTTCTGTGCTGTGCAGGGCCCAGCGAGCTGGACTTGAGTCTGATCGGCGATGGCGGCGACTTGCACAGCTCCCCAACCCGCAGTGTACAGCAGGTGAGCCTTCCACAGCTCACCCGAGCGGTCGCCACCTCTCCCGGCGTGTCTCCCAGCGTTGGCCGCTTTATCTGCTAACTGCTGTCCTGGTGCATGAAAGTCTCGTTGCTGTCAGTTGCCCAATAATACAATTATACACCGCTCAAGACAATGCATTGAAAACTAAACTAAACCTTTTATTTTACCAGGTAAGGCCTACTGGAGCTATATCGCTCTTTTTGTAGAAGCGAGTTGGCCATAGCGACCTGGCCACAGGTCGCCACTCTAAACGCCTATTTCTAAATGTGGAGGGGAAAACCGGAGCACCCGGAGACAAATCAAAGCGACCGCGGGGAGACATGCGAACTCCAAATATACAGCAGCAGGCGTCAGGGTCAGGGTCGAACCTACGACTCCTGTATACCAGGCGAGGTAGTTAACATATCTTAGTCACCGTGGCGCCCCTAAATGTACATGTGGCTCCCCCCTCTTCCGATATTGGGAGATATTCTTATTCCCACGATATGTCCTGGTTTGTATGTACATATGTTGAACTTCTTTTGCACCGTACGTAGCCACCCGTGCGAATTGGAGGTGGCAACCCCAGGCGGAACACAGAGTGGAATGTCGAGTCAATGTATCACCTGAATGACCGCAGCATGCCTCTCTCCAGTGGCCTCAGCTATGGGGTGTGCTGGCAGTGCAATTGCACGGGGAGGTAGGGGGGACTCGTGCACCAGGCTACTAAGGGGGAGTCGGGCGAGGAGGAGAACCCCATTACTCTTCCTTGCGCCAGGGCCTCAGCCGCTGCCACGACCGTCTCGTAACACTCCGTGCATGTTGCCTCTCCTCCTGCATGTTCCAGAATCGTATCATCCCCTGCCAAACACTTACACAGGCAAACACCCCCCACCCCGCCCCCCCGCTCGTATAGCCGTTAACAGATTGTAGGGGCAAGTGCTGTTCACGAGCACCTATGAAGGCTGGCACAGCACTCGAGGAAGTGGGTGGCCAGCACCACACTCGGCCACCTTTGGCTGAGTCAACCTAGGCGAGGCCCAGGACCGATTCGGATAGTCGTAAGCAGGACTCGAACTCGCGTCGCCGGGTTCGTAGCGCAGCGCGCTAACCGCTGCACCACCGCTCCCCAACACAACACACACGCGCACACACACACGCGCGCACACACACGCGCGCACACACACGCACACACACGCGCGCACACACGCGCACACACACGCGCGCACACGCACGCACACACACGCACACACGCGCACACACACGCACGCACACACGCGCACACACACGCGCGCACACGCACGCACACACACACACACGCGCACACACACGCGCGCACACACACGCACACACGCGCACACACACGCGCGCACACGCACGCGCGCACACGCACGCACACACACGCGCGCACGCACACACGCGCACGCACACACGCGCACACACACGCGCGCACACACACACGCGCACACACACACGCGCACGCACACACGCGCACGCACACGCGCGCACACACACGCGCGCACACACACACGCGCACACACACACGCGCACACACGCGCGCGCTGTCTGTCTCTCTGTGTCGCGCGCGCGCCCAGCCCACACGTCCTGTTCCACGCGCGGTCACAGAGATTCACATTCCCACGCTGCTCCTATTTGCACAAAAAAAAGAGATGGTGACGTCAGCCTGTGCTCGCGAGAGAGGAACGCCCTTAGCCGGAATTCAGTGGCAAGGGGGAAACAGCGAATAAGTTAGAGCACTTGGAGTCGTCGCTGCAGCGGAAAGTGACAGTAGCAGCACAGACGTGTTCAGTTGCACGAACGCGTCGCGCGCCAGCTGCAGCAAGCGACCCATCGTCAGTGGCCGGTCAGTATCTGTTGTGCCCTCTGTGTTTGTGGCTGGCCATCGAACAAAGACGGTCACTGCATTGCGCACTTTCAGAGGCGCTTCCGCGACCGTCTGGAATGTTCTTCCGATATTAGGAAGTCACTGAGAGCCAGAGGTGGGACAAAGTCATTGTTATGCAAGTCCAAGTCGAGTCTAAAGTCATCAAATTCATGACTCGAGTCTGACTCGAGTCCAAGTCACATGACTCGAGTCCACACCTCAGCTGAGAGCTATGCACTTTTAAATCGTCTACATTGAAAACGAATTTCATTAGAACTGCTTCTTTGTGTTCAGTTTGGTGACCTCCCCCCGCACCACCGATTAGCACGGTTTGATACGTACGGTGCATAAGAGGCTCAACATTCATCCGTACGAATACGAACTTGGTCAGTACTGAAGTGGCTTTTGCAAGCGTTCATCAGTGGAGCTTTGTTCGCTGTTTTATCGTGCAAATACAACTGAGCAAAACATCATTGTGTTGAGATGGACGTTTCTAATTTAGTCCGACACCAGAGTCGGAGTTGAAGTGTTGAACAAAGAGGCGATTATTGTCGCATGCAGTGCCACCAGAGCCAGAGACGGTGAGCCACAGGCACGGGTGTGGGCGCTCCGTCATCTCGACTAAACTGGTCTTCAGTCTCTGTCTTGGCTTGTCAGCCCAGACGGCTATCGGGGTTGTATAGTGCAGCGTGCTGTATTTAAACACTTCATTGTATAATTCTTATGTTAAATTTGCACTTGAGTCCGTGTCTGGTGCGTGGTTTTTAGTTTTACAAGGCTCTGCAGTGCCAGCCCAATGGAGATTTAGTAATGAACGTGACTCAAACGACCCCTTTGTTTGACTCCCTTTGTGTGGCGCAATCAAGTCATGTGAACGCAAGATGTTAACGTAAGCTAAGACCAACACTAGTTGGTCTAAAAATCCATCAAACAAAAATAAAGTGTTAATTTAAAACAGCTTTCATCTCTTGAGAATGTTTGTTCGGGCAGAATGTTTTTAAATAAACATTTAAATGGCTTCGTGAAATGAGTACATATTACACGCAGCAGAATAGTAATATAATACAATTACATTTCAATAACGGTAATGTATTTTCTTGGAATCCACATCAGGGTACAGTACTGTATGTATCTATGTGGAGAGTACTAACCCATAGAGAATACTGTAGATTTAAAGATAACTCAACACTTTCGTCAATAACATTCCTGTTTGCAATGAAGAACGTCACATATTACTGTATGTACTATTTTCTTTGTTTAGGCCACATAGAGTCATTGACTCGTCTTTCCAGTTCGTTTTTGTCAAGAACGCCACTGCCAACGCAAGCAGTCTCAGTGAGACTGTCTCACCAAATGTGTAGATTTTAAAAGGATCAACTAAGTTCGGACCCAATTCAGTAACACACAGTTGCACAATCTTGATCTTAAGTCTACTGTTGATAAGCACCTGCCGTTGGTAATCGATGAGGCAACGCTGTGGAGTTCTCACCAAAACTCGGTCTAAGGGGCAATCGTTAACCCGGCGTGTCTGTCCGCGTGCCGCTCTCCTCCATGCTCCAGGTTCGGCGGGCGTCCTCTGACAGGGGAGGCATGGACTCTTCAGGTACGGCGCCAGCCACCACAGTTCGTTTTGCTGGTTCACTTTCAGAGTTTTTTACGCTTTTCTGCCTTTTAGTGCAAAACACGCGGATCACTGCAGACGTGTACATGCCCCGGGCACAGGGTGGTCGAAGTTTCACGGAATTGGGGGTATTTCCGACAATGCCGACCAGCATAAAATTGTTGTTAAGTTTCCAACAACACACAAAAAAATGTGTAGAAAGCACACAGTGCATTATGCAAAAAGTTCCATTGTGAGCCTCTTGCCTTCAGTCACCATTAAAATACATTTTAGCAAATGTGACCGACCGACTGAGAGCCAGCAGCAGTGAGACGGTGATGGACAAGTGTGGTGATGGACAACTGTAAACATCTGTCACAGTGTGCATGACAACCACCCCCATTGCACGATTGTACGTATGTATGTTGAACTTATTTCGCACCGTACGTGGTCAACCGTGCTAATCGGCGATACGAGAAAGGACAACAAGCTACAGTAAAACAAAACGCAGTTCTGAAGAAATGAGTTTTAAATCTCGATTTAAAAGTGCATCATTCCCAGGGGCGTTCTAATGGGTGCGGGTGTACCCAAGACGTTGTAGTACATACAGTTACATGCAGTGGCGCACCCAGATGACAAATGTCGGAGGTGTTAGTAAGTATTACTTATTTATAAAGTAAGTGATCTTTGCCAGGGAGGCAGGTGCATGCATGTTGGACTTCTTTTGCACCGTACGTTAGTCAACCGTGCTCATTGGCGGTGTGGGGGAAGCACAGCAGATGAGGACAGCTTTACCTTCTGTCCCCTCCTGGGTGACCTATGGGTACAGGCGTTCAGCCACATCACCCACAATGCACCTGATCCCATCAGATTCCGGCAGCTAAGCAGGCTTGAGGCTGGATAGTGCTTGAATGGGTGACCCCCACCCTGCATAACGCATGTTATAGGCTCCCAGTAAAAACGGAACGTTGATCCAACGTTGCGCATTTACCGGGCTGCAGTGGGACAGCGGTGTGTAGTACAGAAACATCCATCGTGGCGCTGTACTTCAATGCTCTCACACGTAGATTGAAAGCTCATTTTTTTGAACTGCTTTTTGTGTTTAGTTCTCTGTCCTTCCCCGCACCTCCGATTAGCACGGTTGGCTACGTACGGTGCCAAAGAAGTTAAACAGACATACATATATGCTCCTCACCATTATCAACCCACACTGACCAGCGTGGTGAAGTATGGTGAAAGAACCCTCGACTCGCACAGCTTGAGCAGGCCCTGACCAGCAGTGCGCTTGGTTCATGGATCTCATGTGGTCAAGCATCGCAATAAAATGATCGACTCTACCTGTGCGTGTAAAGGTATCCAAACCAAATGCGCAAAGGTGAGAAATATTGTACAGAGGTGTTTAGGAGTGTATTGATACTGGCCAGTTCCATTGCAGCTGTACAGATAAGCACCTTAAATACGACCAACCCTTCACCTACAAACTGGTGTGGCTGATCAATCACCTCAGGCACTAAGCCAACAAATCCAGAGGTCACAGTTTAATTAACAGTTCATCTGCTGCCTGGTGGTGTAATGATCAGTACACATTGGACTGGCAATACAGAGGTCGCCGGTTCAATTCCGTCTCTTGGCCAGCAGTGGAAACCATGGTCACATCCTCTCCCCCGTCTCTGTACACCGAGCAGCAGTATACACGGGGTCTCCAGACTTAGCCAATCGACAGGTTGTAGGGTGGGGTTAAAGTGTGGGTATTTCCATCTCTTCCAAGATGTCTGACCAGCGTGGAAGGGTAGGTAAACAATGCCCTCTTGTATGTTTGTTGAACTTCTATCGCAGCGGACGTAGACATATGTGCTCATCGGAGGTGCAGGGGGAGGACAATAAACTAAACACAAAATTTAGTTCGAGAGAAATTGGTTTTTAATCCAGGTTTAAAAGTGCACAGCTCCAATGGCTCCCGAATGTTGCGCCATACAAATCGCTGTCCTCTTATAGTCACCACCCTCACAGGCCAATAGGGGGCGGCCGTGAGAGTGAGCTGGTGGTGTTGTGGTTCACCCGGGGTCACCCCCACCCCCCCGGGTACCCCGTGACCGAAGGTAGAGACCCCAGACCGCCAAGGGGTGAGGGCTGGGGGCCAACGGTTCATTCCCGAACCTTCCAGACCCTTCTGGAAGGTTCGGGGGAAGGTGTGGTTCGGGGTGGGGTAAGCACCAACTTGTGTATAAAAGCTGGTCCTCTCAACGGGACCGGCAGTGTTCATCTCCTCAAGACCCGAAGACGTCTGAAGACGAGGCCAGCACCCTGGGACCCTCAGCCGAGGCTCTTGTCAGAGCCGGGTTGCAGCGGACCAGCGGTGAGACCCGAACCTTGGCTAGGCCGGGTCAGTCTCGCCTCCCCGAGCCCCCGTAGCGGAGGATCCGTGAGAGCCTGTAGGGCCCGCTAGAGGGGAGGCTGTACCCGCCTTAGGTTATCGGGTAACGGGGCCGTACCCCGTAGTGTTACAGGAGCCATAGGCCTTAGTGTTACGGTTATTGTTATTGTTATCGTTTATCTCAATAACGCGTTGCCTCCAAGAGAGAAGTCTCCCTCCAAGTTATACCCACAACACTAATATTGGTAGGAAGTGCGTTCCAGACGGCCGCAGAAGAGCATCTGAAAGTGAGATGCAATGACCGTCTTTGTTCGATAGCCATCCAAAATCCGCTGCTGCTGCTGCGAGGATAATGACCGGAGTTCGCGTGATGGTTTTTGCTTCTTGCCGAGATCAGCATGGCATTGTGGGGCACTTTGTGCGTCACGAGTGTGACCTCTTGAGGGCTCCCTCTAGTGGAGACCCGCCTGTGGCGTATGGAAGTAATTGCAGGGCTATATCTTTACCTCCTGAAACAAACTAATTTAAGTTCATTGTGTTTAAAGTTTACTTGGAGGTAAATATAATGGTAAAGTCCATGTTCTTGGCCTCCGTAACCCACCAGGTTTCCTTTGCCCCCTCCCCCCAACTAAACGTTGGAAGTGGACTATCCCATTGCTAGGCAATACATGTTTACTGACAGTTACCACCGTGACGACGTTACAGCTGGGATTAGGTCTCAAGAGCGGCCCGTGCAGAGTGAAAGTTTCTAAGTCAACTTACTTGGAGAGAATTACAGTGAGCGATGGGGTGCGGGAATTCAAAGTCTGCAGCGATCTCAAGCGCCGACGGCAGCGAGTCAGTGCGAGGTGAACTGGTTATTGGCTTCAGCTGTCTCTTTGTAAACTTTGTAGAACTTGGGCAGCAGGCCTGGACACCAGCTGATCTGGTCGCCAGCTAATGATGCTGGTCGTAAAAGTTTTGGTCGACGAATTCCACCAGCACCTAACAGTGTTGTCATCCTGTGTGTATTTTGTTCATGAAACTAGAGTGACAGTAATTAGTTGGGAAAGTGTAATTTTTGGTAGGATGGGGATTATTGTGCACCATTAAACAAATAAGAGTGGGGCTACATCAATGACTTCTTTCGTCGACCTTACTAAGGGAACTAAACTAAAATCTACACACACAGAGGGTTTGGCTGTTGGCTCATGCGAGCTAGCTCAAAGCCACGCTGAACTTGAGCCGGCTATGAGCGTGGCCCGAGCCACCACACGCAGGGCTCCTGCTGAGCCAGGCCAAGTCGCCGCTCTCGTGGCTCGATGGAAGCGGCCGAGCGGCTTGAGCCTGAGCTGAGCGATGCCCCCAGGGGTCGGCAACCTGCCGCTCCGGAGCCACGTGCGGCTCTTCAAGGACCGCTTCGTGACGTTATTCACGTTGCATTGCGGCTCTTGATCTGTTGAGGGTTTTTTTATTTACCGAATTCTTAAACAAAGTCTGCTCTTGTTGTGTTGGTTGCTAACGCCTGGCTACTGCCAGAGGCCGTGCCTCGAAAAAACATGACCCTGAGACTTGATAAACGTTTCACAAGTTGATGTCGAATAAACTAAGACTAAAATGTAAACTGCTGATTAAATGAACAGAATTAACATTTTTCTGCAAATTATAAACGCCTCTAAGACTGTGAAGACTAATTTTTGTTTTGTTTTCGGTATGATCCTGTTTGAGAAATGAGCCCAATTTGTGGAAACTCGGTTTCCCAGATGACAATAACGCCCTTAGCTCTGCACAAATAGCAACTTACTTGATGTACTGCTGCCTGCATTACAGTAGAAAATGGGGGTATTATAATAGACATTTAAAGGCAATATTGTTGTTTTGCCATCAACATTATCCCTCTAACGGGCTCTGTGGAATGTTTGTATTACAAATGATATTATTAACAACATTATTTTACAATCATCATTTTATACGGAATATTATTTCATTGCAGATAACAAGCTGAAGAAAAGCAAGATCGTGTTTGTTGTGGGTAAGTGGGATGTTTTTGTCTTTCACGATTTTTTGTCAGAATGTTGGTAAATAATTTAATATACCGAGTTGACTCACGCACCCGAGGGGATGGAGCGGCTGTGATGGTGAAGTTATCATCATTAGCCACGTGCTATCCACTGCTGGATGAAAGTCCATGTTGTGAAGAATATAACAAACCTGTTTCACTGCCTGAAAGGGTAAAACCTATTTGTATTTTTCATCATTTTGGTACTGGCAAAACGTTCTCATAGATGTAGCTGCTCAACAAGAGCTATGGACACCTTTGCTGTTTGCATTGCCTTTTACTGTGCCGCTGGTGAGACGGGGCCATGAAGAAGGATGCCTCTCGTGTCGGCGAATCAGCTTCAAAGACAACGCAGATATTACTAGGGCACGTGACTTCCCCCAAGCGTGTGTGGTTAATGCAGAACCTGAGCCTTGCAATAAGTGTTGTCTATTTGGTGTTTGAACAATTTAAAAACCTCCTGTGTTATTGTCACAAAGGGTAAAAGCCTATATTCTCTTTTTTTCATAACAAAGCAAACTGAAACGTGTTGCACCTCGCCCCTCCCATAGGCGGGCCCGGCTCGGGAAAGGGCACGCAGTGCGAGCGCATCGTGGGGAAGTATGGCTTCACGCACCTCTCCACGGGTGACCTGCTCCGTGCGGAGGTGACGTCCGGGACGGAACGCGGCCAGCGCCTCAACGCCATAATGTCCCGCGGCGAGCTCGTGCCCATGGTGCGAGACACACACACACGCGACACACACATGCGACACACACACACGAGATACACACACACACACGAGACACACACACCCACGCGATACACACACACAGACACACACACACACACGCGACACACACATGAGACACACACACATGCGACACACACACACGAGATACACACACACACACGAGACACACACACACATACACGCGACACACACACACAGACACACACACACGAGACACACACACAAGACACACACACACGAGACACACACGAGACACACACGAGACACAAACACACACAGACATGAGACACACACATGAGACACACACGCGAGAGATACACACACATGAGACACACACGAGACACGCACACAGACACACACACACACGAGACACACGCACACAGACACACACACACACGAGACACACGCACACAGACACACACGCGAGACACACACGCGAGACACACACGCGCATATACAGGGGAGGGGCTGTGGGTGGGGGTTGCCATTTCAGGGCTGCGGCCAGAGGCTCTTAAGTTCTGGGACTTGGGGAAGGGGGAAGGAGGGGAGAGAGGAAAAGAAAGAACTGCCCTTTGTGGGATCCTCTTTTGTGTGAGGCCTGGGGCAAATTGGCAATTGCTACCTAATGTCTCTATGTACAATCCCACGTATCATCTCAAGTATCATCTCCATGTATCATCCCCACTTACCATCTCACGTGTCATCTCACGTATCATCTCCTCCCCCCGTCTGAGCGACTCTGTGCACGAGAACGCTCTTCCTCTCTCCTTCTCGTTCTCTCTTGTGCCACGTGTGCATGACCGCAAGCGATCAGATTCGCGGTTTCATAAGCCGCGCGCCCCCCTGGGGCATTGAGTTCCCATGCTTCCTCCCTCCACCCCCGACTCTCCTCTGCTGTTACTTCCTTAACTGGCGGTTCGGTTTGCGGCATTGTGAAAATCTTACATCAGTTCGTACAGAAATGTTCGTCGGTTGTTTTTTCTCCCTCTTCAACAAACTAAAAAAAGACACACAGCCCTGATACTGTGTGGAGCGGTTTTGGTAGTGATGAATGCCCACTGCATACCTGTCAACCCCTTATCAGTGCCTACCTTATTACAGACCAATTCAGACCTTATTGGTCACCCCTTGCCCTTATAAATCTCAACGTTCATCCTACAAGGGAGACACACAAACAAATAGACATTTTTTTGCACATATTGAAACGACTGTAGGCTGTATGGATCTGAAAACATCTTAATCTTGCCTGGTTGACTGACTCGGCCTAAACTGACATTGTTCTGCAGGAGACGGTTCTGCAGATGCTGAAGGACGCCATGCTCTTCAAGGTGGATTCGGCGAAGGGCTTCCTGATCGACGGGTACCCCCGAGAGCTCAGCCAGGCCGAGGCGTTCGAGAAAAAGGTCAGTGGCGTCGCCACAGCCGGGTTAAGTTTCCTGGGGGGCCCTGGTGCTGTTACAGTTTTGGGGGGGGGGGCTTCTTTGTCTATTCACTGAGAGTAACATTCGATGGCGATCTGCTCACACACAGATCGCCATTCCCAAGTTGGTGCTCTACATCAACGCGTCGTCGGAGACGATGATGGAGAGGCTGATGAATCGCGCCAAGACGAGCGGCCGGGCCGACGACAAGGCCGAGACGTTCAAGGCACGACTGCAGACGTACTACGAGGCCACGGAGCCCGTGGTGCAGCGCTACGATAACAAGGGGCTCGTCAAGAAGGTGCGCCGTGCACTACCCAATGTTCACGCTGCGCGGGAACAAATATTGTGACTTTCTATTTGATTAAGGTCACGGGTGATCCGTCACGGTTTGGATCGGGTATTGATTGCAGGACAAATTAGTTGGTCACGCAGCACTACTGTTGCTGCTGCACTGGCAGTGGTGCACAAGTGCAAATAACCACACAAAAATCAACGCATTTGTCAAGAAAGTGGCCTTAAAAGGTAAATAGTAATAATAGGAGATGTTTTGGTGACCGTTTTTCAAAGCACTTGAGACATCGAAAAGGAATGATTCATGTGCTAGGAAGAAGGGCAATGTTGACCCTTGAATAAATCTCCATTTAAAGTGACAGTGTTATTTGATTGCTGAAAGTGTAAGTGTAAACAAGTGTAAATGTCCAAATGAAGCGAATGAAAATTAGGAGAACGCAAAACATATGGAACAAGTGAGATGGTAAAATTTAAGACAGAAAAATTATTCTGAATCGGCTCGTGATTCAGAATCATGACATTGTCGAACCACCGTGAGAAGGGTGCATCACGACATGCTCACCGTTTGCAGGATGTGTTACAAGTTTATCTCCAGGATAAAGATTCGAATTCTGAAGTTGTATATACTGTACAGTGTTCTGAAAGCCAGTGCAGGCTATGGTAATAAATTTGCATGAAATAAATTAGTCTAATTAAATGCTATTGTATGATTTGTAGGTGCCGAGATGTATATTGTTATTCAAGGATAACATAACAGATTGGAGGTATTCTAGTGTAAAGGTTTATTATCCCTCCAAGATTCCATTCCCATCGTTTAGGATTCTGAGCAACGTTGATGCCATCTCCTGAACCAGCAGATCAGATAGGCCTGACCTGAGAACTCAATTGGAATCCACGCAGTGGCATCATTGCCCCCTGCTGTGGCCACTTGGCAGGATAAGATTATCCCTTTCCATTCCGCTGACGTACGTGTAAATGATCAAAACGTAATTGGAAAATAAACTCAAATAAAATAACTTTATCGGTACCGAAGCTCCGACAAGGTCACGCAGGAGGGCGTGTGGCACAGTTGGGCGCCAGTTATGGTGGAGGGCGGTCGTGCCGCTACGGTTCTCTGCGGGGAGTACGATGTCTTTAAAAACAGCAGCGCTTTCCGAGATTCAGCGGTGAATGAGACTCCGTTCGGCAATTTGCAATGGTCTCGGAACGGGAAAGGGTTCATTGTAAGTCTTCAAGTAGCACCTTTCATATCACAAGGTTCAAGATACTTCACATGAGTTAAGATAAAACAAACATTTACAAAGACAAGTGTTATTAAAACACACCTGAAAAATAATGCAATTAAAATAAAGAAAGAAGGGAAATTACAAAAAACCTGTAAAATAATCAAAAGATACCAGAATAAAGTTCTTCAGGAACCTTCTGTAGAAGAGTCCTGGTAACGAATAGAGATCGTGAAGGATGGTTATTGCAATACATCATATTGGGGCCACCCTGGTGAGCAGCGAAGTGACACGAGGGTGTTTTTTGTTTGCATCGCAGATCAGCGCCGAGGGCACTGCGGACGAAGTGTTCAAGTTGGTCTGCGAAGCTCTGGACTCGTTGAAATGAGCACTGCTGGTCACGGAGCGACTCCAGCCCGCACGCCAATCACTATCGACGCCCCGCCCCCCGGCCCTCCCCCCGCCCCCTGGCCCCTCCCCCCGTAACGCTCGACATCACGTGCTGCTGTTGAGTACGACGCGCGTTTTTGAAATCGATAGCCATCATGTGCACATCTGTGTCATAGAGCTGCGAGTTTAACATTTTTACTGAAATGTTTTGATCGTGCACCTAAAAAAAAAGAATTTTATCTCCCGTAGATGCCAAAATTGTGAAATTGGGATTCCGGACGCTTCGATACGCCTGCCCTTTGTGTTGTGCAGGTTACCACCCGTGATGTGACGCCTCCATGCTGGCAGTGTGTAAGTGCTACTAGGGTGCAGTGTGTTGGTGACAAAGTGCGTCAGTGCCTGGCGGTATTTTATTGTAAATTGGATTATTTCGCAGAGTTTTCTTGCACCAGTGTGAGATAACTTTTAAGAGCTGGAGACTGCATGCTCCATTTATTAATGTAATAAATTATGAAAGGAAAATAGCATTCTGTGTCATTTATTCATACATTGCGACTTCGTCTGTCTTCCAGGCTGTCTGATTCACGTATATGCAGCGAACCAAAATAAGTGGTTTAAATTCACTCCCATGCGGCTATGCGGTTGGACGTGGGACAACATTGTGTGCTGTTTGTACAGTTTGCGCTACTCGGCAGGCTGTGTTGCTTAATGTGCATGCATCATGTATGTTGTTTACCACATAAATAACCCAACCGGTAATGAATACCCATTGTAATGTATATGCAGTCATCGCTCAAGAAGTGCTCACAAGCGATGCCATCATATCTACCCCTCTAAGAAACGAAACATGAGGATTTCTCCACAAATCTGGCTGTCTGCCTGATGATGCCAGTTGTAATTACTGGTGAAACGTCGTACTCAGATTGTAAATGTTGTGGATTTGCTCTCCAACACACCGGCGTGCTGCACTAGTAATGATTTGGCATGTTCTGTTTATGTGACAAACCTTACTGATTGGCTGTGTCTAGTGGTGGCGAGTTTAACGACACATTTATGAGATCTAACCCAAAACAACCTTTATTATGGATGATATTGGTCACAAAAGCCTCCTACTACTACTACGTGTTAAACTATTTTGCTTTGTGCACCCCTCTTTTGGAATGCGTCAACCGCATTTGACGAGGGAAACCTCCTCGTGTCAACTCTTCTCTAACAGGCCCAGAATCATGCCACTTTGAATTATGACAACAAATATTCAGCAAGATTGCGTTACTAAATTAGGTAATGCAGTTTTTTATGAGTTTAGTTTGGTCTGGGTGGCTGTGTGGTAAGAGCCACCAACTCTCAAATGGAAGGTTATGGGGGATCAGCTTGGTTCATCATCTCCGAGTGGTTGATAAAAAAGATGCTACTTTGAGAAAAGTCAAAAATAGTTTTCCTATGAGTAAACGTGTCCCTTTAACTTACAGCAGTGACTCAATACCATACCAATATTTACGGAAGCATTATAATACTCTGACTTAAACACTAAAAACGTATTTTGGGCCCGCAGATCGTAGGACATAAAGGTACGGGGTGATCCATTTGCAGATGCCCCACTCAAGTATCAATACTCACACCAGGTTATGTTGGGCAAAGTGCATCAGCAGAGTGGTAAAATATGTAAATAATGTATTAGGATTGCAGTAAGCAGTGGAAATGGTACACACTTTGAAAACGTTTTAGTGTGGTCTTGGATCCACAGTCCAATGTGGGCAATAAACAATGAAGGACACCACAGTGCGACTGTGACCATGCAAACCAAACTGCGGATCCACCACCACCACAGTGTCGACTGTGACCATGCAAACCAAACTGTGGATCCACCACCACCACAGTGCGACTGTGACCATGCAAACCAAACTGTGGATCCACCACCACCACAGTGCGACTGGAGGAGGGGAAGCCAAACGACACAAACTCTTTCCTGAAGCCCTCTCGTGCCGAGCAGACCTCAACATCGACACTTAACGGCTGGACACGTTGCCATCACGCGCAAGAACAGAATAGCGTGGTCTTAATGATGGTTTCAGCAGTAGCTAGGTATACAACATTAGACATTATTGCACCTATATATTATAAAAACGCAAACATTACAGAAACACTAATAAGGGAGACTCTTTGTATCTTTGCTGCTACAAATTGCAATGTAGCATGTGCCGGTGACCCATATAATGACATCATCACGCCTGGTATGCCACAGCCAAAGTATGCACTCATCCTGCCGATAAACAATAGTAACTGCGGTGCGCCACCACATCGCTTGTGCCAGGCTAGGTACACCTTGAGACCGTCACGTGAAGTGTCAAATTCCCACTGCTGGCAGATCACCGGACAGACCCAGGTGCTATGGGTTGACTAATGTGCCCGGCTATGTGCATGAAGTCAGGGGACACACCCAGGTGCTGTGGGTTGGCTGAGATGACCGGCAGATGCACCATGGCACTGGTAAACACCCATTTACAGACGGCCACACACGTTTATTAATGTGTCAGCAACAACGATATTTCTCGGGCAATGGACTTGGATTTGGGTCTGTAATGCAGCACTGTGGGAGCAGCGGGGCTTGGTGGATCGGACATGTTGCAAGACGCCCTTACCGTGGGTATCGAGGTGCCCTACCGTGGCTTGCCAGCAGAATGCGGTAGAGTGTGGACTGATCGCACCTGCCCCTCCTGGAAGAGATTAAGCGTTGCTCCTTTACAGGTGCGGATTTTCTTCAGGATGCTCCGGTTTGCACCCACATGTATAAACGCTCACTGATTAGCTAAAACATCTCAAAATATAGAGAGCTGCAGAGCATTTGTTGGCACCAGCTCAACGCCTGGCAGCCTTCCTGCTTGTCTGTGGTCACGCAACGATTGTGAGATGCAGTAATCTATAAGTCGTTCAGCCGGCATATCGTAGCGTGAGATCTGGGGTGCATGGATGGTCGAGGGGTCAGCACACTCACCCTGCACCCAGCGTTCATACGTTTAAGTCCAGGCGCAGCTCCCTGGTGATGCGACATTAGAACTGGGTCGCTCAGCTGATTATAAGTCGGTTAATTGACCAAAAATTGTAGTTGGCGTTTTGCTGTGGTCAATCACCTTGGGCCACATTTAAAAATCGCCACATTAAAAAATGGCGGCTGCCCCCACATCCTGCCTCGTGAAGGTAGGAAACCCCCGAGAGCATGGCAAGCTCCACCCATCACTTCCCGTCCAGCGGCACAGGTGGGAACACAGGTGAACACAGGTGAGACCTCCCCCCCCCCCAACTGTCCCTTTTCAGTGGAAATTTTACCTAAAAAACTTTAAAGCCCAGAGATTCGTTTTTTGTGCCGCAATGTCTACGTGCAATGTGAAGCTAATTTCACCAGTGCACCGTAAAAAATAAGTTCACAAATATGACAACCAGAAATACAACGTGAGGCACAGTGATACTTAAAATGATTTATTTAATGTTTGAGTATACAAAACATATCTTCCATCATTAAGCAAAAGGTGTACAATCACGTCCCAACCCTCAGCATTCTCTTGTTAACGCTGACGCCATGCCTGGGGAAACAGCCTCGCACTGCGAAGGGACACCTCCATCCTCGTGTTTGCAAATTCCACTCCCAATGACCCCCGTTCAATCCACATTCCTGTTGACTGCAGATTGACAGAGGCGTTCTGCCTCTTGGATACAAGTGGCCTGATGGACTCAAGTTTGTCGTCAGTGGTGGTGCGTGTCCAGACATTATTTGTGGTATCCCTTTTATAATATAACGAACGCCTCGTGAGCAGACAGAAAACATGCAGACGATGCATAGAGATGTCGTGAGATGGCAGAAGATACGATGTAGACAAGCTAGATGACAGAGATTCATTTACGTTTCATGTGAATGCGCTTGTTGTGTTTAATAGGATTTGAATTTGATGTTCTCTTAATGTTCCTGGGAGCGTTCGAGCGGCGCGGTTGTGTTGCTGCCTCGTGCCGCCACTTGTTGGGGCGCCGCGGCATCGCACCCCCTGAGGACGGAACAGTCCGAATGGCGACACCCACGCGCGCATCATCGACATGCGGGCTCGTGTGGGTGCTGCACACGCGTGGCACGTCCCACTCGGACTGTTCCATGTCGCCAAGGGGTGAACATTGGCCCAGAGGAAACCGATGCCTCTGCGCACTGAGGTCATCCGGCACTGTGGAGGCAGGGGCAGGTGGAACATGCGAGCTTGTCGGTGAGACTCCCGACCCGCGGGGCTCTGAGGTGACCCGGACCGTGTCAGGATGGCACGGAAGTCGCTGACCTCTCTGCGTGGCTTTTTGGGCGTCATCCCCTCGTGTTGGTTTCCGTTAGGCACACACCGGTTACCGGTTACACAGGCACACACCGGTTACCGGTTACACAGGCACACTCCGGTTACACTCTGAAATACTCAATGAGGAATTGTCCAAAGATCCCAAACGAGACCCTCCCGAAAAAGACCGTTTTCCAAGATAAACAAAGAATACCATTACAATGTAAGGTATGGTGTACCACACGCAAATTATTATAATCATCCTATAATACAACATTAACCAAGAGTAGTGGATTCATATATTCAACTGTGTCACGGCGAGACCACGTGAACCCGGCCACTGCTAGGGCTCACCCCTCTTGTGAACGAACGACTCCGCAGCGACGCCCCTCGCCTTACGAGCACAGTAGCACGTGTTGGTATAAAGCAGCGCAGGCGGGGGGCGTGCCGCTGTGGAGCAGTCCATGATTAAGACGAGTCCCTGCACCCAGCCGCGTACCATCAACCTCAGTTACACAGCACGTTGTCGTAAAAGTATCACCCAAAATCAGCGACGTAGCGACGTATTGATCGATGCGTATTTACCAACACGACCGGTTGAAGCGGGTGCTGCCAATTTTTTAAAACGCCTTTCCCGATTTTTCAAAGCGAAAATGGTGAAATTCTGCCTCCCAGCAGCTTACACGTGATATGATTGGTTCGCTTTGAATATCGGAAACAAAGGGGTTTAAAACTGGAAGCCGACCACTATGGTTCAGTAGGGTTGGTAACTAAGTTCAATCTATTTTCGATATAACTAAAATACATTATAAACTATTCCATGAATTCTAGTTTACCACTTTTATACATGCACAAGGTATATTGTTATACTGATTAAAATATCCAATGCGTAACCATGATATTGGTGAACATGACCGATTTGTTTCCGCGTTTTTAAACCTCGCCAGTTAATTCCAATTGTGTATTTCTTGTCACGAGATGGAGATACAGTATATCCAATCAGAACTCTCAGCTCGCAGTGCACGATTACCTTTGTGTGAGAGCCTTGTCGGACGACATCACAAAACTACTTGTGGAGTCAAGTTATTCCTGCTCGAGGGGAACACATGTTACATTTGTCACGTGGCAATCAGAACACTGTTCTAACGTTCAAGACTAAAGTCGGGCAGATGAAGTAAATGTCAATGTCTTCTTGGTTCTTTCGGTAAAGTCTCGTAGAAGGGAAGTAATAAAATAATAAAAAATAAAACATATTTTATTACTTCCCTTCTACGTGACTTTACCGAAAGAACCAAGAAGATGAATCCCTGCAGTCACAAAAGCTTTAAATCGAAATTTAAATGTCAATGGTTAATGTGATGGGTTTTTGTGAGCAGTCATTGGCGACTTACTGAGACCATAAACTCACTAAACTTGAGAATCTCGGTTTAAGCACAGGTTGGTGGAACTTGGATTCAAACCCATGCTCTCAGTGGTTCTGTCTCGGTGTCTCTGGCACGGACATGAAGCCCTCTGAGTCACATGGCCGCCTGCTGCATCCATGGTGTTAAGGCGAACTGCGTGGACACTGAAAACGCTCCACACGCCTTTCGTATTGAGTCACCATCAGCGCCGAGAGAAGAGCCGCGTGCATTGTGGGGTAGAACCAATCAATGTGGTGTGTTGATTCATTTAGACTCTCCGGATGCGACAAGAGCAGCGCAAGGTGCATTCAAGCGTTATCATCGGCAGCGCAATTGTGTGCACGCTTATTGACGGAACATTCTGATTCAAGTGTGAATTAAATCAAAGGCCCTTTGCAAGAGTAATGCCGTAAACGCTGTGCATGTATAGAGAGTAAACATTTTAACATAAGCCCATGGACTGAAAAGGACAGCATGTTCCCCATTCATAGAAAAACTCTTTTAAAAAATATACAATACCCCCCAATGCATATTCTACTACTGCAACTGCAGTACAGTACAATACATGCCTTTTAAAACTATTTATTTAAACACTATTTAAGAAATAAAAAGCCATAAAAAGTTAGCAATGAAACCCACTGCGAATTGCCTCCAAGACGGACAATGCAGCGTGCAACAACGACGACGATGAGAGAGATGGATAAGGGCTGCCTGCTCGCTTCACCAACATCGCGAGCGCTGCACTGACCTCGATGTATGTATGAATGGACCGCAATGATCGGAGGTGACAACGGCTAAATGCCGAACCCAAACATGACCCTGGCTCTGTAACGACAGCGCTGCGTGGTTTTAAAATGAGACTCAGGGCAAACCGCACGGCCTTACCAAACTCGGATCATCCCTCCACACCAATTAAGGCTATTATGGTCAAAGCATAACCCACTGTGTTGTTCTTCCCTCTCACCTCAGCTCTGCTTAGCTTCCGGGATCTGATGACATTAGGTGCATTCCAGGTGATTTTATCTTAGGATAAATTAAATTCAGAGCACAAGGGTATCCTGGTGAGGCTAGGGATCCTATTAACTATTTTAATCAAGCCAATGTGTTGAGTTTGTTGTCCTTCCCCGCACCTCCAATTAGCAAGGTTGGCTATGTATGGTACGAAAGAAGTTCAACAACACGTATACGTACACCACCCAATTTAGAAATGTTGCGCACATTGGTCTTATATTGTAGATGGTATGTTTCAGCCATTGTTAAAAGTCAAAATAATCCTTTGTAATTAGTGCGCTATGAACTTAGCGACATGAGTTTGATTGCTGGTCATGCCACTGACCAGTGCGGTGAAGTATGGTTAATCAACCCACAAGACAGGCGTCGCGTGGAGGAGTCCTTGATAGGCAGGTCACCGGGTTCAGAGCACAGCGCACTACCCACTGCGCTACAATTCCACCCGCTACAATTCCACCCAAGTATAATTATATATCGGCCTAATTTGTAGTAAATTTACATTTTGGAGATTTTTTCACGTGCAAGGAAAGCACATGACACTTTCTCCGAAGCTGTGCAATGCAGAGAGATTGTGATTTTGATTGCATTTGTGACACTGGCTCGAGAGGCAGAGCTGTCGCCTGAGCAGGCAGCACTGCTCCCAGGATGATGACTAACTGGAGACATGAGGCTCAGCCCGTCACGCAGCATGTTCGCACCTCCTCCGCGTGACATTTCGCTATCCCTTACACAGCACGTGCCAGCACATCAGAAGATGCAGGTGGCGGTGGCAGGGGGGGGGGGGTGCCCAGGTTTTACCCCACCAAGGAAAATCCTCGTTATAACGTATTTAATTATAACGGAACTGACAGTCACTGGCACGAGTGGATGTTGAATTCTGCCTGGTGCTTCACACCAGCTGGAGTGGAGATCAAACCTGGCGCGTCTAACGAGCCGACCTCCACACCACTAGCGTGCTTTCGATGCCTTCTCAAGAAAGCTGGACATTGAAATCTGTTTGCAAGGTTCTTTAGATCACACCAGATGGAGTATGAGAATAATGAATCCACATTGCGATTTGCCAGCATACGTGCACTGATCAGTTCGCGCCAAATATGAATTCAACTTCACAAAGGACGGAAAGGATGAACGTGAGCACATATTTTTTAATGCTACCAGCGCAGGGTTTCACGGTTGTGCTATTTCGCGTGTTTTAGTCGGGGGAGGCGCGGGGGATTGTATCGTGTGTTGTTCGGAGCTTCTTCAATTCAATTCCCGAGGGCGCTGCCACCAGCACACGGAGTGAAATGTCGGACATCGTTCCGAACAACACGCGGTACGGCCAGAAGGTGCGGCGGAGAGCTCGATCTGTGGCATGAATGAATCAGTACAATGTCTATATTGGAGAAATCCGATAAGCTATGAACATCTTTTTCTCACAGATGTGCAGAATGTGTCTGCCAGGCCAGTCAAGTAGGCAGAGCCACCCTCTCCAAAAGAGCAGTGCCACTTACAGCTCAGCCATTGATCAAATAAAGTTAAAAAAGAAGAGAGATTGTCGGAAGTGAGTACTGTATCTAGTCGAGGCCTGGAGTCTGGTAAATGTTCGAGCCTTCATTAAATCCGTCCTTCGCAGTTGCAGCTGGCAGGGCAGTTCTTTAGAACGACGGCGTTCTTGCACGTGTACTGTGCCACCATCGACGCGCAATTGGCGTAGCCGTTCTTGTACTTGCACGGGTTGTCTGTGGGGCACACGCGCGCAGACGCACACAACTCAGACTGAAATCCTCCATCCAGCTTTTTACGAACTGTTTGGGGCAAATGCAGTTAGCGAGCACCTATTACGGGCGGCAAGGCGCGCGAGGAGGTGGTGTGCCCGGCACCACCGATGTTTGCACGCCGCACAAGGTACCCGGCTAAGGCTGAGTCGAACTAGGGGAGGCCCAAGGCCGGTTCAGATATTTGATGTGTTTGGGAATTAAACTCAGGTCATTGGTGCGTACTGAATGAACTCTGTGCTTTGGCAAAATGTCCCCAATTCACCCAAACACTGGACTCCTATTTACCAAACACGATGTTCAACAACGATGTTTCCATATACATCTATCGAGAACAATCGTGTTTTATACAACTCAAAAAGACATGTACAAATACTCTACAGCAGGGAATTGTATGATTTGAGATGAGATGTGATGCAAAAGCATCTAAGCAAGCGCCTTGTACATACAACTCCTTACAATCCGTATCCTTGGGTGTGCGTGTCGAGACGAGGGCTCGCCCGTGTGTCTACTCACTGCACAGGTTATTGACGCAGTTCTTGGGGCAGGAGGCGCAGCGGGTGCCCAGGTCGTAGGGCCTGTTGATGCGGGTGTTCAGGTTCCCCCTGCCATGTAAGGTCACAGGTTTGTACGTCAGTAACGATCGCGACTCGGCCATCATTAACACGGCACATTGCGCTGATCATGGTGGTGGTAGAGGTAGTTGTAATTGGCGGTGGTGGTGTTGGTGGTATCGGTAGTTGTAATGCTAACAATGGTCGTCAGAGTTGTAGATGCATTATTTCTCGTCATACACAAATATTACCACAAGCAAAAAACAAGCAAATTAATAAATAAAAAGTAAATTATTAAAATAGTAATAATGTCCAATAGGCTACATATGCAAAATAGGCCTCGGAATAATAATACTAATAATGTGAAATGCGCCAGGCAGTATTTGCGCTCTCTGGGAGAGAGAGAGAGAACGACTCAGAAGCACGAGGAGACAGACGAGGAGTGCTGGGACACAGCAGCAGCAGCCGTCATGTGGTGAGCTTGCACCACATTCCTCCAAGCTCTGCGGTCCACCTAACATTAAGGTGTTATCGTCCAATTAATGAGTGTTTATGCATGTGGAGGAAATACTCTACAGTATTCCATACAGAAGTCACTGGTGGAGTCCTGTACCGCCTTATCCTGGTGAGCCAGGGTATGGCATCTCGACGAGTAATGGTAATGAATTAACGTTACGCATACCTGTGCAGCACTGGGTGATCGTAGCGTATGGGTGGAAGGCCAAACAAGGTGACCTTGGGTCCTGAGGGTCACTGAGCGTTGTGGTAAGTCACGTAGCAGGTGGTGTAGACGTTGAGTGGTTGACTAACAGGCCTTGAACAACCGTATGTCAGATGCGTTTAGTCCGGCAGTGTAGTGGTTGTGATGATGATGTCGACAATGCCAGTGATGCCAGTGATGATAACTTCCAGTGGCTGAGCGTGAACATGGTTTGAAGAGAACGTAGGGCACGTGAGCGTGTGCGGAGAGAGACTCACATGGGGCAGTAGTGGCACACGTAGAGGTACTTGGGCACGCCCGGGTTATTTGGGCAGTAGTTGACTGCGCAGCCAAGCTGGAAGGAGTTGTACCAAACCAGCTGCACAACACACAGAGACATGCCGATTATAGAACTCCCTCCCCTGGCAAACAGGAGGTCGTGGGTTCGATCCCGACCCTGATGCCTGCTGTATATTTCGAGTTTGCGTATCTCTCTCCCTGTAGTCGTGTGGATTTTTCTCTGGATCCTCCAAGTTTCCCTCCACGTTTCCCTCCACATTGAGAATCAATGTCACGCGTTTAGAGTAATTTGGCTGTCAATTTCCACACGATAATCCACTCCGATGAACTATCATTTATTACCAGGTCGCTTCTGAAAAAGAGCTATACAGCTCAGTGGGCCTTACTTGGAAAATGTAAAATAGTTTAGTTGTATAGTTACATTTAGCTTTATTTGTGGCTGCGTCAATTCCTCCTCCCGTGGCTCGCATGGGCAAGGCCTCACCTGGGTGTAGTGGCCGACGGCTCCGGGCGTCTTGGCTCCCACGTTGTACTGGAAGCCGGGCGAGGTCACCTCGTTGTACCAGTCGCGGATGGCGTAGTTCCACGTGAAGGGCGCGCTCGACATGAAGATGTTCTCTCCGCACGTCCACTCTGCCGGTGAGACACGGGGCGGTGGAGGGGGGGGGGGGTCACACCGTGTTGTCCAAACTGCTCAATTCAAGAAACGTGTTAACTCTGAACGAGCACACCAGCCAGAGGGCTCAGTGGTGGAGCTTGCGACAAGCGCGTAAGTAAAATGTCTCGTTGGGGATTGACTCGGCACATCATCCGATTTTATTTCACGGTTAACAGGAAGGAATAGGACAGCAGATAGTAGGAGTTTTGCGGACCCGACAGCTGCCACGGATTATACGAATCGCGGGTATTAGGGCTGTGGAGTTCTGTATGGCAGTCAACTCAAACTGTGTGAGTTAAACGGTAGCTGGCATGGTGGTAGCACGCCTGTAATTCAGAGTTTTGGAGGCTGGGTTGGTGGAACAAACAGATTTCTGCTGGGAATTATCATTATTCTGGGCTGCGTGTTGGCCAGCAGATGGCAGTGGGTTTCTGACCTGTTTATGAAAACTTGAGTGTGCTCCTTTCATGCGAGGGTATACTCAAGGCACTTCTGAATTCCTCCCAGCTACGTATGCTAAACCCACGTGAAACAAATGGCCAAATATCTCAATGCAGGACCCTTCTAAACAACGTGATCAAGTGAGGCCGTCCTAGGTTAATAACAATGGTTAAGTAAAACCACATCCTGTGTTACTCTGCGCTTCTTACAAACTGAAATATCTGTCCATGAAATGAAGAACAAAAGTTTCCAAATGTCAAAATGAGGATAGTTTGATTTTTTATTCCAAAACCAATAGTGAAGATTCCACATTCTGATGACAGTGAGTTATCGTTCCACGGACCTATTCATATCACCGTAGCAACTGGTACTTATTTTACCGACCTCATTGCAATGATGATGATAATGATGAGTCAGGCTTGAGATATGAACCTTATGGCGGGACCCCGTGGGTCCCGAATAAACGGAAGTAAAAATCGTAATTAATTTATTTATTTTTGGCGACTCCCACCGCGCACACAAACGCCGCGACCCGCCTGGCGCGGATCGTTCCGTCGTCGTGTCCAAGCGCAGCGGCAGAAGCAGCGGCGAGGACGAATGTGCTCAAGAGCTGAACAAGCGAATGCTGCACTCCACGCTCGGGTATGGGCAGAGTCATAAGTCTTATCCAAAACTGCTCAAACTGCCTAGACGACTTAAGTCCTTTATTTGTCATCACGGGATGCATAATGCAGTGAAACTGCTCTCTTATCTGCATTATTATTTGTGACCTACCAATGTCTGCAGTCAGGATCAATCGATGACAATCCTATTGCCTGCAGATAATTAACAGATTAGATGCTTTGCACCGTTAATTCCTCCTGTTTGATAATACGTCTCTTGTCCGTATGCATCTGTGCAGATAGGTTTGTTTTGCGGTTAAGCCGTAGTCCCCACATACCGCTCGTATCAATGCGGATAAGAGGAGCGGCGACCCACTACTCTGTAGAGTAACATTGGTATAAAAGCTTGTTACAATATGAACAGCGCATTGAAAGCGCGTACTATTTTATGTACTGTTTACAAAGTATGTTCACAAATCCACACTGAGACACACGATGATTGACAGAGGGGTGTAAATTATTTTTTCGATAGTGTATTTAAATAGAGGTACTGCAGGTAAGTAGTTTTACGTTTTAAAGGCATAGTTTAACAAGACATCACTTGCCACCATCCTTCAAACTCATTGGTAAAAAAGAGCAAAGTTTTTGTTTACATTACAATTTAATGCTTATGCGAGAGACAGGGGCTTATGGGACCCCGGGGTCCCGCCATGAGGTTCATATGACCACAACAATTCATGACTGGGGGCTCTTCTGTACCAGCAACTAACTGTGCTCTTTCACAGTTCTATATATACATGTCTGTATCTCTATCATCTTAAGCTGGAAATATGTGCCAAAAGAAAACAATAGAGGGAAGGGACTTTTAACAGGGGCTTTGAAGCAAAGCAACGATCTTTGTACCGGTATCTGCACCTGCCACACGATGTTTCTAACCCCGTGTCTGAACGGAGCCTTCAATCCGGCTGAGGGATTTTGTTGCAGAGACATTGCTCATGAGATTTTTTTTACAAATTCAGGCTTCTTAGAAAACCATTGTAAATTATTTTGAGCTGGCACAAGTAAGAAGGAGATGCACACACACGCCAGACATAAGCACACTCGATGAACCGAGCTCAAAGAAGTTAGACAGGTACATCTTACCGCTTACAGGGTTTACACTGGGATAGTGAGAAATAATAGCTGCTTGGATCACAAAACGCACAATTGTCTCTGAATTTATTTTTACGCGTATTTATCATTCTCTGATGATGGCAGAAGTTAAGGCCCTGTGCAGAAATTACCCACATCCTCGTGAACAATGTCGTTTCCTGTCACCACAGAAGTTGTATTTATATGTTTTTTTATCCTTTGGTTAAGTCTCCAAATAATGATATTAAGATCAAAATAATTAACAATAGAACCTGGTTTACATTTTGACCATCCGGCCAAAACATATCGCCTTAGCGATTATTGCCCTAATCGTTGGTCGTGCATACATCGGCACATTTTTTCCATGAGTGGAACCAAAGACAAACTGTGAAAAATGTAAATATCCCCCAACGCTACACATTTTAGTGCAATAAAACTGGAAAGGTGAAGCCCTGCAATTGCCGTGCTCACGACACTACTATTTACTACTATTTAAACAGTAATACTATTTAAACATTTACTACTATTTAAACAGTATTTAAACTACTTTTTTTATTTTACCAGGCAAGATCCACTGAGCTTTATAGATATTTTTCAGAGGCGACTTGGCCACAAATGATAGCTCAACAAAGTGGCTCATAATGCGGACATTAATAGCAGCAGCCAGATATTCTAAACTCGTGATGTTGATTCTTGGGGGAAGGCCTCCTCCACCAGAGGCAGCTACAGAGAGCCCCTCTAGAGGGCATTTGTGCCAACTCTTGCACGCCGGCCAGACATCATGGAAGACGTGGTGGAAGTACCCACACTTTACCCCACCAAACGCGACCTGCCGATCGACTCACTGTGGTGGTGTAACCATTAATACTGCTAGGTGGACAGACGGAGGACGGGGGTGAGAGGGCATATTTCAGAAACTTGTCCCATTGTTTCAACTGCTGTGCCGGGAGATGGAACCGATGACCCCTGTATTGCAAGTCCACTGTGCCCACCATTAAACCACGGCACCTTATTTGGTGACGCTGCTGCTGTGCTGGCAGATGTGCACAAACAACAACAACACATCCGTCTATAACACTGTGGCCTTAAAAAGATAAATATATAATTGCCCTCCTTCATAGCATGATTGTATAGTTTTACTTTAAAAGCCCAAGTTTTGTTGACGAACGTGTTACGTTTCTTTCTTTATGCAAATACAAAAACAACTCACCGGATTGTTGTCGCCTACACGTAGGCTATGACCGCGGTGGCGAGATATTAACTACCTCGCCTGGTGCTACAGGACGTCCTGGGTTCGATCCCGATCCCGATCCTGACCCTGACGCCTGTATATTTTGCATGTTCTCCCCACATTGAGAATCAACACGCGTTCATAGTATTTTGTTGTTATAAATATCCACATGATAAGCCACTTTGTTGAGCTATCATTTGTGGCCAGGTCGCTTCTGAACAATAGCGATATAGCTCAGTGGACCTTGCCTGGTAAAATAAAAAATGGTTCATAGTTTTTCTATTTTTATACTTTGACGCAATTGCTCGTAAGCCAGCCCCACGAGAGAGGGGGGGGGGCAGCGCTGTGCGAGGCTTACGTGTCGTTTTGCGTCTGGCGTCCGGGCTGTGGCCGAAGGTGCAGTTGTTAGCCCAGGACAGGGCGTTCAGGTACACTTCCTTTTTCCACATCTGCCGGAAAGAAATACGGATTTGAGTTACTCAGCTGTTTAAGGACTTCCAGAGCTTAGTTCCCCACCAAATATGTTGTTGCGGGTGGCTGCTCAGACTGGAGTAGGGACGTGACGAGCAGCCAAGGTCAAAGTGAGAGGTAAGGTGGATGTGGTGAAAATATTATTTCCAGGTCGCTGACCCAGACAGAGCCAACTGAAATTAAGCCCTGAGTAAATCTGCCTCTCAAGGCGTGGTACAAAATGCACAGGACGTAACCAAATCAACATGGAAATTACGGGGGAAAGGCAAGACATCTGATAATGCCAATAAATAGTAGTAGAATTTTTCATTGTTTTAATTACCCGGTGAGGGGATAAATGCATTTGTGAGAGTGAGCATGATAGAGTTAGTCAGCGATGCAATGAAACGGTGTTTGAGTGAGCAACTGTTCGAAAGAGCGAGTGCATGAGTGAATGTATGAGTCATTATGCAATTGAGATGCAGATGAGTGAGACAGAGAATGAGTTACGAAATATTAAATGATTGATCATTGAGTGAGTCATTGTATGGTTAGAGTGAGTGATTTGTTAAATAAGTGAGTGAGCGGGTAAGTGAAACACCTAATGATTTAGGGATTAGTCAGTGACCAGGTGAATCAATGAGACGTTAAGTGCGAGCATGAATGAGTTAGTAAGTCATTGCATAAGTCACAGCGTGAATCATTGAACGAGCGAGTGAGCAAGTGAATCACTAAGTCATTTAGTGAGTCAGTGAGTGAGTGAATTACTGAGTCATTAAATGCACGCATGAGTGAATGAGCCATTAAGTGAGTGAGACACTGATTGATGAATAATTGAGTGAGCAAATCTACAGATTAGGTAGAACTTCTTTTGCACCGTACGTAGCCAACCACGCTAGTTGGAGGATGCGGGGGAAGGACAACAAACTAAACACAAACTAGCAGTTCTAAAGAAATTAGTTTTCAATCTATATTTAAAAGTGCATAGCTCCAGTGGCTTCCTAAGATTGTGAGTTTTGTAGCTATTGAGAGCTACTGAGCCAGTGAGAGGGCAAGTGAATCACCGAACCATTCAATGATTGAACGACTCTTCGAGTGACTGTCAATCACCGAGCACACGAAGCATGCGAGACGGCGAGTGAGCGAGCCAGAGAAGCATGCTCCCACGCCGCGCTCACCATCTGCAGCATGTTGCCCGCCGAGGGGGTGACGTTGCGGCGCAGGTCGTTGTGCAGGTCCACGATGGCCGTCTGCACGGAGCCGTGCACCGTCTTGAGACTCCTCCAGTCGTTGACCAGCTCCCAGGCGGCCGCGCCCTCGGGCAGCGACGCGGGCAGCAGCACCAGCCAGCAGCAAGGCGGCCGCCACGGAGGTCGCGGGGCTGCGTGAGACGGAGTGGGGGGCCCGCACACAGCAGCAGCAGCAGCACGGTCACCACCCTCTCCTGGCTGCCGCAGGACATCTGCGACCCTTCCTGGAGGTTGAATCTATGGGACCTTTTTTGCCAATATTAAAGGATGAAAACTAACAATAGGTTTTACCCTTTCTGGCGATAACACAGGAGCTGTCAAGATGTTGAAACATCAACTGGATACCAAGTCTGCATTAACCACACGTACTTATGGAAAAACATGCAAACAAACATGCTCTGGTAATTTCTGTATTGGCTTTGAAACTAATTGGCCTACACCAGAGACAGCCTTGCTTATGGCATTGTCTCACCGGTATCAGACCAGAGAACGCTCTATAAATGCTATGATATGTGCATGGCGTTGTACTGTTCCCCTGTCGGCGTTCCCTGGTCTTCCTGTAGATTGATTAACCGAGTGGTTTTGGGGAACCCGTGAGTGTGAAAATTCCACTGCCGATGTAGCGGAGACGACCACTGCCCGATGCCTGTCGCTACCGTACGAAGTCTCCATCGCGGCGCCGTTCACACCGATCCGTAGTCACTGCTAGGTTCGGCCCACGCGGTAATTTTATGCCTAAAATTCTTGTCATTCACCCTCCACCTCCTAACAATGTATAGACGAATGTTGAAATTATTTCGCACCGTACGTAGCCAACCGTGCTAAAACAAGATTGTTGCATTTACAAAGATGCTATTTATACGTGCCAACATGTTGCTCAGACTTTAGAATTTCTTGAGGCTGACCATCAAAAAATTCGGCAACCCATAAAATGTTGACCAACAAAGCTCCTGATCACTGGTGGCTTCAAACCTTTCACGGCTGACTTTAACATCACCATAACATGTCGTTGCACTTTGAGCTTCGTCAGGGAGCGAAATCGGAAATTGAGTCACAATTTACACAACGTGCCACATTAAGCATAAGTTGAATAATTATTAAGAATAATTATTTAGTAGATAATAATGATTTAGTTTGCGCCATTGTTATAACGCATGACTATCACGAAGGCGCTGTTCTTGCAGACACAGTCTGCGTAGTTTCACAGTCCTGGGGCAAAGTTGCTGCTGTGTATAAACAGCGCACCCATCTGCTTACGTTCTATATTCCACTTCGAAAACTTAGATCTTCTGATTCTGTTCTTCTACTCATGATTCTAAAGGCCAGACTGTGTTCTATGGGAGACAGATAACTTTCTGCAGCCTGGCTCCGTAATTGTGGAATTCCCTTCCTTGATCTATTAGGGAATCTCAGTCTGTGACACTTTATTAAATCCTATCTTAAAACTCACCTGTTTTTACAACAGGCTTTCTCCGTAACTTAAGCTTCATGTAAAACGCTTTGAGGCCTTGTGCGACTTGCGCTACAGAGAACTGAGTTTATTATTGTCAAATCATTTTTAAAATCTGTGAGCATGACCCCGGCACACGGTGGCTTACTCATTTCAAATGACGTCAAGGAATCTTCAACGCACGCTGTGATGCGGACGCCACGAATTTGATGGTTGTTATTGCATTCTCACGATTAACAAGAGCAGCCAGGCTGGTGCTGGTTGCTACGTCTATGCCGTGCCCAAGTCAATGGTTCTATTGCCATCACGGCTGCCTAGTAACTTTTGTTGAGACTTATCGGAGCATACCATCTGGTGCGAAACAGTGGTGGTCTGGGTACAGGGCACGGCTCGCAATCGCAAGGTTGCGATTTCAAATCACAGGCTGTAGTCGTTTCAGCACATCATATCGCTGGGGTTGATAAAACAATTACCACTTTGTGGAAAGTCGACAGAGGTTATTCTACGGAATGACTGGCCCACACCAGTGGGATTGTGGAAGTCCCAGCACTGGCCCGTGACTGCCAGTGGAGATGGGCATCAATCTACGCACATTTGAACAGAGTGGCTTCATGATCCTCTGACTAACACTCGCATTTTCAAAGGTTGGCCATTGCGGATAAATGCAACTTAATATTGGTTCCCTTATTTTATCTTTTCTCCTAAAGGAACGAATTTTTCTTCGCAGTCGTGGTTCGTGTTAGATTGCAGTTAGGGTTTGGATGTGGTTCTGGTTAGTTTGGGCTATTGACCAGATTAATTTTGATCAAAAGATGAGCAAAACTTTTCACAAATTAGTTTGGAATGTGGCTTTAAAATGAAGGAGCGTTAGTGGAAAATACATTGACATAGACTACTGCCATGCAATTAAAGATGAATTTGTTGCAATGAAATAGAGGGGTGCAAATATTTTGTGAAGGGAAATAAACATTTACAATATTTACAATATTTTTTTCCTAGGGAGAGCAAACATTAACACCAGTGTCATGGGCCCAGTCTGAAATATAAGTTTACAATCTCGACATTTATTCAGGTCAGTCTTGTGACCTAGACTATCCCGGTCTCTTCTCGCCTGGTTAAATGAAATAAACAATTGGCAACATAATCTCTGAATAGATACGCGCAATCTGTCAATTAAGAACATCGAGTATTCATTCAGCAACAAATAGCCATTAAAAAACATATACATCAGTGCAATTTTTCGATTTAAAGCTTTCGTGACTGCAGGGATTCATCTTCTTGGTTCTTTCGGTAAAGTCACGTAGAAGGGAAGTAATAAAATAATAAAAATAAAACATAATAAAATAGTGCAATCATGACCATTTCATTACAGTTCCACGACAAACGTGGAAATTCGTATGTATGCTCCTTATAAGGGTATTTATCAAAAGCAATAAAAAATATATAACATACAATTTAAAAAATAAACAATATAGGTGATTCACTACCAACCAATAAGCACGCACTTAAATTATTGCGTGAATAAATGTCCAATTAACTTTGTATAATGTGATTTGATTCGAGGAGCGTATTATTACAGTTGAAGCTCTGGAATACTTTGCCGCCGTGACTCGTGATCAGTGGTGGTGATGGCCCATTGAGGGCCTCGTTCTCAATGTACAGACAGAAGAGTTACACGCCAGAGATGTCATGAGATTAAAGAAGACAGATGCAGGAAAGATAGAGAACATAAATATTAATTAGTTTGTTTATGTTAATTGGCGTGTGAATTTTATTAGGATTTTAATTGGAGCTGATATTTGATGCACCCCAATTTTGTTCGTGACTTCAGGGCCCCTTGCGCTCCTTGGGGCCCTACACTTGTGATCGGTTTGCTCATATCAAGAGTAGCCACTGCTCATTACCACAATATCTAATAGTAGGAAGGTTAGGCACAGCCAGATAATAACACTAAATAATAATGTAGAGCCCAAAGTCAATCCACTGCTGAATGAAAGCCTTCTCATGCTGTGTCAGTCATGGAGGTTGACCACCCTTCGCCATGTGGGTCAGTGTGGGTTGGTGAAGGAAGGTGCCGCAGAACCAGTGAAGGGATTATTTGCCACTGATGTTAGCCGTGGCTGTGAATCAATCTCAGTTGGCAGGGTTCTAACCACTGCGCCACCACTCCCCTGGGATATACACACTCACTATGTGCCATCTATTTTCTTAAACACGTGGCCTTCCATTTATCTCAAAACATATTACTCAAGAACTTTGCATTGGATACTCCCAGTTGCATCCAATTCTTCGAGTGTGACTTACCTGGTAAATAAAACAGAGTTTAGTTACAAAAAAATATGTACTTAATTCGCTGTTTCCCTTGGCTTTGTGTTCCCAGAATTTTTCCAGTCACAATACATTTATTACAAGTCGTATATTCTCATTAATGTTGTATTTGTACCTAATATCCATAATACACTTAAGCTACTCATCTTCTCTGTGCAAGAACTGAATATAAACACGAATGTAAATAGGCAAGGATAAAATGAAATTAATATTAAGGACACCAAGAGATTCATAATCAACGTTTTTGGGTTTAGATCGCGTTATTTATAAATGTGTCGTAACCCTCCACCACCCGACACGGCCAATCAGTAAAAAAGTGTCACGTTGACAAAAGACAAATTAGTTCACTGCTTTAGCCCACCGGTGTGTTGAAGCGCGAAACCACAACATTTACAATTTGAGTACGTGCTAAACATACCAAGAGATGACTTCGGAATTGTTTTAAATCAAACACAAAGGAGATATCCTGCGTGCATCACTCAGACAAGGGGACATGCTGTTTGCAGGTTAGTATTCATAACAATGGAGGTGCAGTGGTGAACACACTTTATTAATACATTACATCTGAACCCTTCACATCGATAACACTCCGCTGCTCCTGACTCGGTTGTCTGGCTTGACCTCCTAGATCTGAACCCTCTACCATCTTGTTCTGGCCAGCATGGTGAAGTATGGTCAAACAACCCCCATGGCAGACCAAGCAATGGAAGGCCTCGATAGAGAAGTGCGTTGACCATGGTCTGTACATTGTTTAAAAATCTTTGAAACATTTAAACAATTGTTCATATTACGAGTTAAAATTCACAATAGCTATTATAACAAGTACTTTCCACGTAGGAGCCACTATTAGCATTGAGTATAACATTATGGGATATTGGAAGTGAGGTTCAAACGTAATGATTGAAATGCATTTTAATTTGTTGTTTAATGAAGCTCTGATTCTAATAAGTGTCAAGACGTTGAAAGCGTGTGTGATATACAACTAGTATCCAAGATTCCACAGTTGTACCAAGCCTATGCATTACACATTGACCCCTCGAGTTAGATTTGTTTTAAACGTATTTCCCCACAATTAAATTTTGGTCATTCTATGAGCAATCATCTCATGAGATGGGAGCGCAAACTGAGTAGTCTCATCCCGTCTGTGTGTTAGAGAGAGTCCTGCATACGATGGAATCACTGACCTACTTCACTTTATGTGCTGTGAAGAAGGGCCATTGCGAGAAACGTCACCTTTTATCTAGTAATATTTTAAAGACTACAGTGTTATTGATGAAGGTGTTGCGTTTATTGTTATTTGTGCTTTACTTCTGAGATTATTTCCAGTAACCTCGTATCAACAAGCACACTGCTACAGAGATGTTCTTCACAGGGGAATTAAACCAACATTTTATTCTCAAACCGATGCTTTTTTCTGTCCAATTTTTCCACTCCATGGAAATTATATCTCAAGCAAAAAAATATTCAAAAAATTTACTGGACTTTTTTTATCACATCAATAAAACCTTCTTTTAATTTTGTCATTCTCGGTGATAATATTTTTTTGCACAAAAAAATGTTTTACTTGAAATATTTAGTTAATTTTGGTCCCGTTATTGGCGACTCGGACTAAAACGAACAGTTTTAGTACTTAACAATTCAGCTTAATCACAGGTGGCTGTCCGGATTCGAAAGCAGAATCTCAGTGGTGGTGGCAGCTCGTTGCTATGAGCCCTGAGCCACTCGGCCACGTGCAGAGATCGGAGTTTAGGAGGCAGGTGGCTCACCTCAACATGTTGTCAGTTCAGCAAGGCCTTGCAAAGTCTTCCCTTCAAAAGCTGAGCTCCTCTGTTTGGTGTGTGGGTCTCAAACTCTTGCAGGGGCCCTTTTATACACCCCAGCCGGAACCTGCTCC